AACATGCTTTAAAGATATGGAAAAAACAATCACTAATTTTATATGGAAAGGAAAGAGACCTCGGATAGGAAAAGCACTATTGAAGAAGACTTGGAAGGAAGGTTGGCCAATCTATTTCCATAGTCATACTGCCTTGGAAACCCAAGGAGGGGTCACTATGAGTCAGATCTGACTCGATGGTAGTGATTTTTTTTTTTTAATTGAAGAAGAACAAAGTATGAAGTCTCACACTCTTGGATCTCAAAACCTGCTATACAGCCACAGTAGTCAAAACAGCCTGGTGTTGGTACAATGACAGCCACATAGACCAATTGAGAACCCAGAAATTGATCCATCCACCTATGGTCAGCTGATCTTGACCAAGGGCCAAAATCCATTAAATGGGGAAGAGAATGTTTGTTTAACAAATGATCCAGGCAAAACTGGATATCCATTTGCAGAAAAATGAAACAAGATCCTACCACACACCATACACTATAATAATTAAATCCAGATGGATCAAAGACTTAAATGTGAAACCTAGAACTACAAAATCCCTCAAGGAAAAACTAGGGGCAAATTTAGGGGTCCTAATTTATGGCATAAATAGACTGTCAAGCATAACCCAACATCCACAAACAGCAGAAGATAAACTAGATGAATGAGACCTTCTGAAAATTAAAGTTTTTGGTCTTCAAAAGACTTCTCCAAAAGAGTAAAAAGAGAACCTACAGACTGGGAAACCATATACAGCAACAACATATCTGACAAGGGACTTATCTCTTAAATTTATAGAAAACTCCAACACCTCAAAAACAAAAAACCAAACAACCTAATTTAAAAATGTGCAGAAGAAATGAAGAGACACTTCACCAAAGAGGATATTCAGGAGGCCAACAAACACATGAAGAAATGTTCACCATCATTAGCCATTAGAAAGATGCAATGAGAAAACAACAATGATATATCATCTCACCCCAGCTTAACAGCAAAGTTAAGAAAACAACAAATGCTGGTGAAGAGACTGGGACAATCATATACTGCTGGTAGGATTGTAAACCACTGTGTAAAACAGTATGGCACTTTCTCAAGAAGTTAGAAACAGAAATAACATATGATCTACAAATCCTACTTCTAGATATATATCCAGGAGCTCTGGTGGAATAGTGGCTAAGGCATTTGACAGCTAACCAGAAGGCTGTTGGTTCAAACCCACCAGCCACTCCTCAGAAGGAAGGGTGGGCAATCCTCTTCTGTAGTGACACCACCTCAGAAACCCAGGGAGGGGTCGCTATGAGTTGTATCTGACTTGATAGCAGTGAGTTATGTATATATCCTAGAGAAATAAGAGTCATGACAGGAACAGATATATAAACACTCATGTTCATTGCAGCATCATTCACAATAGCAAACGGATGGAAACAATCTAAGTGCCCATCAATGGATAAATGGATGAACAAACTATGGTATATACACAGAATGGAAGATTATACAATATTAAAGAATAAAGATCAATTTGCAAAATATCTCATAACATGAATGACCCTAGAGGATATTATGCTGAGTGAAATTAGTCAATCACAAAAGGATAATTCTTGTATGAGATTACTACTGTAAAAAGTTAAGAAAATGTTTACACACAGAAAGAATTGTTCTTTGAAGATTGTCAGGGTTGGGAGTGGACAGGATGGACAATGACCAACTAACTAGAAAGTAGACACATATTAACTTGGGTGAAGAGAAAGGCAATATATGGTAAGGGGGAGTTCATTACAAAATGATCAAGGCAATGGAAGACATAGGAAGGAACACAAGAATTAAAGGCAACAAAGGTGAATAGTATTACACATACAATCCTGCAATAATAGTAATAACAATAATTTACGAGTGGATGCATAGATAGGCATTCAGTCTGAACAGGGATGGGAAGGTGAATGTGACCACACCCACAAATGTATATAAGTTTGACAGAGGCTATCTTGTCTTATGTATTTATATGTGTTGCAAATTTATCCAATGTAGCAGAGCACATAGGGGACTGTGATAGTTGGGGTTGTGTGTCAACTTGGCTGGACCACAATTCTGAGTGGTTTAAGCAGTTGCGATGTGGTTATTCCCATGATGAGATCAGATGTATATGTTTTGAACAGCCAATCTGTTGAAAGGGAGTTTCCCTAGGGGTGTGGCCTGCTTTCAATATCTATTTGGGGATCCTGGGAAAAAGACAGACTTTTCTGTGGATCTGCATCCTATTGTGCTGCCTATAACTGTCCATGAGCGAACAACCCACCATTCAGCCTGGTGATCTTGGATTCATCATCTATTGGAATCAACAGCCAGTATACTGCCTGCCAACCATGAGCTTGTCAGCCCCTGCAACTGCATGAGTCAGGAAAAGTCTCCAGCTTAACGTTTGATCCAGGAACTTGGGATTTGCCAGCTTCTATAGGTGTGTGAGCCATTTTCCTAAGATAAATTTCTCTCTCCATATATAAGAGTTTTACTAGTTTTGCTTCTCTAGAGAACCCAGCCTAACACAGGGACAAAGTTATGAAAATGTCTTCGTCATAACCAAACACGTTGAGAGAATGAGTCACTGAGTATGGAGGCTCAGGACCATAATCTTGGGGGACACTAAGGTCAGTTGGGATAACATATTCCATAAAGACAATGTTCTACATTCTACTGTGGTGAGTAGCAATTTGGGTCTTAAAAGTTTGGGAGCAGCTATCTATGGTGCAACTATTGGTCTCTTCCCATCTGGAGCAAAGAAGAATGAAGAAAATCAAAGATGCAGGAATGAATTAGTGTAAGGGACTAATGGAGCATGCCAACTCCAGCCTCCACAGCCCTGAGACCAGAAGAACTAGATGGTGCCTGGCTACAACGGCTGACTGTTCTGAAAGGGATCACAATAAGAGGTCCCAGATAGAGAAAATGTAGAACAAAACGCAAAATCATAAAAAAGACCAGGCTTACTACTCTGAGGAAGACTGGTGGAACCCTCAAGACTAGGGCCCTTAGACACCCTTCATGCTAGAAACTGAACTTAACTCCCGTGACTCAATTGTAGACAGACCTATAAGATGAACATAATATCCGAAGGGTATGCATTCATTAGAACAGTTAAGCATATGAGCATATGAGATCCAGAGGACAGCATTTGTCCAGCGACAGAGGTAGGGAAGCTGGAGGGGATGGGAAGGAATAAGGGAAGGGTGGGTGTAGAGGAAGAAGTGGGAAGAATGCTGTTAAAGTGTGGAGACTGCAGTAGATGTCACAAAACAGAAATGTGTATGGATTGTTGAAAGGAAAACCAATTTGCTCTGTAAACTTTCACCCAAACACAACTGAAGAAAAAAAAAAAAAGTCGATTCACTTATTATGCAATGTTCTCATGTATGTTTTTCCTGGCAGTCTGGTGAGATGAAAAGGTTATCTGAATTTAAAAGACCCAAGTTCAAGTTTCAGCTGCACTAGTTATCAGTTATGTGTATTTTGGCAAATTGCTTAACTTTTCAGACTTGGATCCTCTTTACTTAATTGTGTGAGAGTTGAATGAAACAGTATTTGTAAAGTTTACATTATTTTGCAGGTTCCAGTGTAAAATGAAAATCCAGGGTCCCTTGTTCAAAAAGCAGGAAAAGAGCTGTAGCTAAATAATAGATTGGTTCATAAAACAATGAGTTGTTGTTGCTGTTGTTATATGCCATAGAGTCGGCCCTGACTCATAGCGACCCCTCTTTGGGTTTCCGAGGCAGTATCACTACAGAAGTAGGATTGCCCAACCTTCCTTCTGAGGAGTGGCTGGTGGGTTTGAA